TTTTATCCTTTGCCCCTGAAGCTTGGCTGTTTCACGTTGTACATAGGAGATCTAAATTCTCTCTGCCTTTTCATTAACGTTCTAATGGAAGCTATTAATTAAAGCTCTCAGCAGACCCAAGAAATGCCTTCAATAAATGCAGTCTGTGTGTAACCTGACATGACATGATTCTCACTCAGCCTCATGGAGATGAATACTGTTTGTTTCAAGTGCTTTTTCTCTGCATAATAAGTAGCCATATGGAGGAAAACACGCTGCCTTTGTGCGTCCTGCAGCATGTTGGAACAGGACTGTAGCTTGTATAAGATGTAATCCTGCGTGCATTATTAATAATTACACTCATTGGAATGGCTTATCTAATGGTGCTGAAATCATTTTTCAGTGTTATTTAAAATGTGAACTGCAGGTCAGATCATGTTCGCTGATGCTTCAGATCTTTATTGTGATTCAGAGCAGCAACAAATCCTGCACCGCTACACAAAATAATCAGTGACGTGCAGTAATGCACTCACAGCGTGCTGATAAGAGTGTGAATGAATTCATTTAGCAACTACTTCAACTGCTGAATTACAGCACAGACTTTACGGTTCATCATTTTTAGAAGAAAATGTATGCACAAGAAAAAAAAGCAACGTTCTTTTATCCTCCATCATTTACAAAACCAAACCAAATGATTGGAGATTTTTTAGAATAAAAGTTGTGTCTTTGGCTGAATTAAATATATTAACTACTAGAAAATTCAAAGCTGTGGGTACAAAAATGATTTATTTTAGTGAACAAACCTCCACTGTTGACAAAAATCCTGTAAGAGATGACCGCCCTGCCAAGGCAAGTGACCTAGGAGAGACACTGATATATACAGCAGTCACTCGCTACGTCGCGGTTTGACTTTCGCGGACTTGCTCGTTCGGAGCTTTTCAAAGTAAAATTGGACATGACTTCAAAAAGGTTCAAGACAAAAACAGCTGGACTTTATTTGTAACAGAAGACGTTTTGCTTCTCATCCGAGAAGCTTTCTCAATTCAAAGAGCAGTGAGTGTGGGGTTCAGGTTATAAAGCTGAGATACGATACACACATGCATATGCAGATTGACCTATCACACCTCACTGTAGAGGTTTGTTAAGGTCTTTGTTAATCTAATTCACAAATGTGGCCCCTCTCGGATGAGAAGCAAAACGTCTTCTGTTACAAATAAAGTCCAGTTGTTTAGGTCTTGAAAGCTTTTGAATTTACCATGGCCTGGATGACTGAGAATCTTCACCAGCGTATTAGACATGACACACCATATGGGATGAGCCGCAAGATCGGCATGTTTTTTTAAAAATTCAAAATAAATTATTTTAAATTATTTAGCACCTGCTGCACCTGTGTGCAGCCCACATGTGCAGGGAGAATCTCCCGCCTGCCGCGTGTCATGACCTCCGCTCTGAATCGGAGAAGTGGCCGAGAGCTCTGGCTGGTGGCAGAGAGAGCGGAGATCATGACATGCTGTGCTCTTTTAAATTGATTATATATATATATAT